GCTCCATCTATTGGTGGGGAGCAACACCTGCTGGAAACCGGGTCCAGCGTCCCATAGATACAACCATATCCTCACAAATTGGCACGAACTGGGAACCGGGCCCAAGGGATGGTGCTTTCAAATTGGTCTATCCTTGTCCAATCCGTGAATCTGCGATCAACTTGGTAGTCTGGTGCTGCACCTCCTCCTCCTCCTCCTCTTCCTGTGATCCTCTTGCTAAGTTCTCTGCCCATGTCACTTCTGCTGCAACCCCCCCCTCGTCCTCTGTCCCCCCCAACCAGTCATGACAAACCCGGCGAGTGATGGAGATCTCTGGCGCCGAGTGATGCAGATCTTCTTGACGTCCTTGTGCTCATGGAAAGGTTCCAGTTTTAGGGTTTAGTTTTTTTTTTTGTTTTTTTGTTTTTTTTGTTTTTAGGGTTTAGTTATCTGCCGCCTATGTGTGATCTCCAATTGGAATTGCAGTAACTGTTTTAATTGCTCTGTCAGTTCCTCCCTCCCCTTCCTCAATTGCTAAACGCACCTCTGCCACCATAATGCCGACAGCACCGTCCTTCTCCCCACGCTGAACATATTCCCCGTGAATGTGGCCTCAGGCTGGTCAGGCCAATGTCCCGCTATAGGATAGCCCGCCAGTCCCAGGGCCAATATGACCCTGATACGATACGCTGCCTTATTCTGTCCCACCACCAAATGTGTCCTGAGGCTGGCCAGGCCAATGTCCCGTTATGATAGCCCGCCAGTCCCAGGGCCAATAGGACTGGTACAATAGGACCCTGGTACAATATGCTGCCATATTCTGTCCCACCAACAAATGTGTCCTCAGGCTGTCCATTCCAATGTCCCGTTAGGATAGCCCGCCAGTCCCATGGCCAATAGGACCCTGGTACAATATGCTGCCATATTCTGTGTCCTCAGGCCGGCCAGCCCAATGTCCCTTAGGATAGCCCGCCAGTCCCAGGGCCAATATGACCCTGGTACAATATGCCTCCATATTCTGTCCCACCATCAAATGTGTCCTCAGGCTGGCCAGGCCAATGTCCCGCCAGTCCCAGGGCCAATAGGACCCTGGTACAATATGCCTCCATATTCTGTGTCCTCAGGCTGGCCAGGCCAATGTCCCTTAGGATAGCCCGCCAGTCCCAGGGCCAATAGGACCCTGGTACAATATGCCTCCATATTCTGTCCCACCATCCCCAGGTGAGGACAGTGGAGGCACTATGCGAAAAAAATGTGCTCTATGGTTTCAGCCTTCTTCTTCCTAAGGTAGCGTTGGATGCATCGGTTGCACCAGGGGAGGGCCCTGGTGGGCCCCACCCTGCTGTTCCAAGGATGTATGATCCATTAGGCTAAGCCAGTTGTTAGTAGCTAAGCACCTATATCACCAGTAAAAACACCTCCAGTATGAAAAGTTTGGAGAGTTAATTGAGTTCCAGGTTCTCCAATGGATTGTGCAGCAATTATGCCTACTGCTTCACCAACTTCAATTAAATTTCGATAGCCAATAGACCACCCATACTGGAACCATTTGTTTGATTTGGCGGAGCCGTTGTCTGTCGATCATTGGGTGTTTTTTTTTTTTTTTGTTGAAAAACACACACACACACGCGGGTGCCCCATCTATTGGGGGGGGCAGCAGTCCGGTTGCTCATCCCCAGCAAGCAAGAACAAGAATACGGATTCTCAATATTTAGGTGTTTGTACCAGCGGTCGTTTACAACGTGACGGTCCCGTAGGTTCCATCTGACCCTTTTTTTTTTTTTTTTTTTTTTTTTAAACCAGTCCAGCATCACTACGAGCAACCTCCCCTAGTGCGCGTTCCGGTTGCTCCAATCTATTGATGGGGAGCCTCACCTGCTGGGAAACGGGTCCAGCGTCCCACTTGAACATTTTATAAATTGCAGATGGTAACATGGTATCTGGCTGCCAGCATTGACTCCCCCAGTGAGACTGGGGGGTTCCATTTGACCCTGATCATCCTTGTATGTGTTTTTGACTGTGAGTTGTCCCAACTGCCTGGCTCTCTGGTTGGGCCGTCGCCGTCTCGCAGGGAGCTTCCATTGCCATTCCAGCGGGTCCAGGGCCAACTCTATTGCCATTCCAGCGGGTCCAGGCCCAACTCTGAGATAATTGGGGTGCCCGGTCGATAGGCCCCCKCSCCWAWGACCTGSASGGAGCTTCCATTGCCATTCCAGCGGGTCCAGGGCCAACTCTATTGCCATTCCAGCGGGTCCAGGCCCAACTCTGAGATAATTGGGGTGCCCAGTCGATAGGCCCCCTCCCCTAAGACCTGGACTCAGCTTCCATTGCCATTCCAGCGGGTCCAGGGCCAACTCTATTGCCATTCCAGCGGGTCCAGGCCCAACTCTGAGATAATTGGGGTGCCCGGTCGATAGGCCCCCTCCCCTAAGACCTGGACTCAGCTTCCATTGCCATTCCAGCGGGTCCAGGGCCAACTCTATTGCCATTCCAGCGGGTCCAGGCCCAACTCTGAGATAATTGGGGTGCCCGGTCGATAGGCCCCCTCCCCTAAGACCTGGACTCAGCTTCCATTGCCATTCCAGCGGGTCCAGGGCCAACTCTATTGCCATTCCAGCGGGTCCAGGCCCAACTCTGAGATAATTGGGGTGCCCAGTCGATAGGCCCCCTCCCCTAAGACCTGGAATCGATATGCCTGTGTTTTATCGGTCCATAGAAAGCCTTAGGGCTGTCTCTTATACACATCTAGATGTGTATAAGAGACAGGTATATAGCCGACCCTCGTTTGTTGTCCTCTTCTCTCTCTCTGCCTAGGGTTTTACCGGGCAGTTCTGTTTGTGACGATATATATATCCGATTCCGATTCACAGTGTGAGAAAACGATACCAGTTTGTGCAACAAAAAACAATCGCAAAGGATTCTTGGAGTTGACGCAGAGTCGCTGGTGAGTAGGAAAGGTTTGTTATCTGGAATCGGTTGTTTACAGGCAAGGGTGTTTTGATATCCTGGTTGGTCTTGTCCCATTGTTTGGCCTGTGACGGAGGGGGCGGTGCTTTATGTGGGACTTGTCATCTGGGATTTGTTTATGTTTGTTTCCCCCTGTTTTGTTATATTTGGCTGTTCCCTTCCTCTTTCTTTGCCTCTTTGCCTTTTGGCTGTGCGCAAGTGGGTCGATATGACACACGGGGGTGGGGGCAGCCGCCGCTCAACCTACATCCACGTGGGCGGCCTTGTACGCAGAGGTTCTGAACAGGGGGAGTTGTAAGGAAGAAAAAAACGAATTCATTTTTTCCCTGTTTTTTTTTTTTTTTTTTCTTTTTCCTTTTTTTTTTCGCTTTGGCGCTCTGATATTCTTGTGACAATATATATAGTCAAACAGAACTGCCCGGTAAACCGTAGGCAGATATGCAATGAACTTGCAGATTCCCAGTGGGTTGCAAAAGTAACATGGTGGTTTTTGTAGTTTTGCTGTTTTTAAGGTCATGAGTTACTACCACCTGAGCTAGCGCATGGTTGAAGATTGAATCTCAAACAGATGAGGGGACAGCTTTTCGTCTTCTGTGAATATTTGGCTTTTGCAGCGGCCGCCATTCTTGAAGATCAGGAGGTTTCATTTCCCACAAGGTCAGCAAACGAAGCAGAGGCGTGTGTCGTTGAGGACCACCACACATCGATTCTATCCCAGTGGTAGGAATTTGGGCAATGGCTGCCAACTTGTTGTATGTGCAGCAACTGTCCCAGCGGCGGCGGCGAAAACAGCAGTGCGTGTTAGCCTTGTGGAACGGTTTTCTGAGTGGTTGGCAAAGAAGCTGGTTGCGAGTCCTGCAGTTGCTACGCTCCCGTTCAATCCTCGAGTCTCCGTGGTAATGTGGCCCTTTGTCTTATCGTAGTCGATTCATCTCTCTCTCTCTCTCTCTCTCTCTCTCTCTCTCTCTCTCTCTCTCTCTCTCTCTCTCTCTCTCTCTCTCTCTCT